AAAAAAAAAAAAACACGGAACTGAGAAAAAATTAAAAGAAAAAAAGGAGCTTTTTTCTTTTTTTGCACAGCGCAGTTTGGTTACGGGTGTCGCGCGCCGCGCGCAAGGAGATAAAAAAGATAAGCCCCTCGTCTATGCAAACAAAACAGCTTGCAAAAAGCGATGAAAAAAAAAAACACTGAACTGAGAAAAAAATTAAAAGAAAAAGAGGTGCTTTTTCTTTTTTTTTTTGCACAGCGCAGTTTGGTTACGGGTGTCGCGCGCCGCGCGCAAGGAGATAAGAAAGATAAGCCCCTCGCCTATGCAAACAAAACAGCTTGCGAAAGGCGATAAAAAAAAAACAAAAAAAACACACGGAACTGAGAAAAAGTTAAAAGAAAAAGAGGAGGTTTTTCTTTTTTTTGCACAGCGCAGTTTGGTTACGGGTGTCGCGCGCCGTGCGCAAGGAGATAAGAAAGATAAGCCCCTCGCCTATGCAAACAAAACAGCTTGCGAAAGGCGATGAAAAAGAACAACAAAAAAAAAAAACCCACGGAACTGAGAAAAAATTAAAAGAAAAAGAGGTGCTTTTTTCTTTTTTTGCACAGCGCAGTTTGGTTACGGGTGTCGCGCGCCGCGCGCAAGGAGATAAGAAAGATAAGCCCCTCGCCTATGCAAACAAAACAGCTTGCGAAAGGCGATGAAAAAAAAAAAAAAAAACCACGGAACTGAGAAAAAAATCAAAAGAAAAAGAGGAGCTTTTTTCATTTTTTGCACAGTGCAGTTCGGTTACGGGTGTCGCGCGCCGCGCGCAAGGAGATAAGAAAGATAAGCCCCTCGCCTATGCAAACAAAACAGCTTGCGAAAGGCGATGAAAAAAAAAAAAAAAAAAAAAAACCACGGAACTGAGAAAAAATTAGAAGAAAAAAAGGAGCTTTTTTCTTTTTTTGCACAGCGCAGTTTGGTTACGGGTGTCGCGCGCCGCGCGCAAGGAGATAAGAAAGATAAGCCCCTCGCCTATGCAAACAAAACAGCTTGCGAAAGGCGATGAAAAAAAAATAAAAAATAACCCACGGAACTGAGAAAAAAATCAAAAGACAAAGAGGAGCTTTTTTCATTTTTTGCACAGTGCAGTTCGGTTACGGGTGTCGCGCGCCGCGCGCAAGGAGATAAGAAAGATAAGCCCCTCGCCTATGCAAACAAAACAGCTTGCGAAAGGCGATGAAAAAAAAAAAAACCACGGAACTGAGAAAAAATTAAAAGAAAAAAAGGAGCTTTTTTCTTTTTTTGCACAGCGCAGTTTGGTTACGGGTGTCGCGCGCCGTGCGCAAGGAGATAAGAAAGATAAGCCCCTCGCCTATGCAAACAAAACAGCTTGCGAAAGGCGATGAAAAAGAACAAAAAAAAAAAAAAACCCACGGAACTGAGAAAAAATTAAAAGAAAAAGAGGTGCTTTTTTCTTTTTTTGCACAGTGCAGTTTGGTTACGGTTGTCGCGCGCCGCGCGCAAGGAGATAAGAAAGATAAGCCCCTCGCCTATGCAAACAAAACAGCTTGCAAAAGACGATGAAAAAAAAACAAAAAAAAAACAACTCACAGAACTGAGAAAAAATCAAAAGAAAAAGCTTTTTCGTTTTTTGCACAGCGCAGTTTGGTTACGGGTGTCGCGCGCCGCGCGCAAGAAGATAAGAAAGATAAGCCCCTTGCCTATGATAACAAAACAGCTTGCGAAAGGCGATGAAAAAAAAAAAATAACCCACGGAACTGAGAAAAAAATCAAAAGAAAAAGAGGAGCTTTTTTCATTTTTTGCACAGTGCAGTTCGGTTACGGGTGTCGCGCGCCGCGCGCAAGGAGATAAGAAAGATAAGCCCCTCGCCTATGCAAACAAAACAGCTTGCAAAAGACGATGAAAAAAAAACAAAAAAAAAACAACTCACAGAACTGAGAAAAAATCAAAAGAAAAAGCTTTTTCGTTTTTTGCACAGCGCAGTTTGGTTACGGGTGTCGCGCGCCGCGCGCAAGAAGATAAGAAAGATAAGCCCCTTGCCTATGATAACAAAACAGCTTGCGAAAGGCGATGAAAAAAAAAAAATAACCCACGGAACTGAGAAAAAAATCAAAAGAAAAAGAGGAGCTTTTTTCATTTTTTGCACAGTGCAGTTCGGTTACGGGTGTCGCGCGCCGCGCGCAAGGAGATAAGAAAGATAAGCCCCTCGCCTATGCAAACAAAACAGCTTGCAAAAGACGATGAAAAAAAAACAAAAAAAAAACAACTCACAGAACTGAGAAAAAATCAAAAGAAAAAGCTTTTTCGTTTTTTGCACAGCGCAGTTTGGTTACGGGTGTCGCGCGCCGCGCGCAAGAAGATAAGAAAGATAAGCCCCTTGCCTATGATAACAAAATAGCTTGCGAAAGGCGATGAAAAAAAAAAAATAACCCACGGAACTGAGAAAAAAATCAAAAGAAAAAGAGGAGCTTTTTTCATTTTTTGCACAGTGCAGTTCGGTTACGGGTGTCGCGCGCCGCGCGCAAGGAGATAAGAAAGATAAGCCCCTCGCCTATGCAAACAAAACAGCTTGCAAAAGACGATGAAAAAAAAACAAAAAAAAAACAACTCACAGAACTGAGAAAAAATCAAAAGAAAAAGCTTTTTCGTTTTTTGCACAGCGCAGTTTGGTTACGGGTGTCGCGCGCCGCGCGCAAGAAGATAAGAAAGATAAGCCCCTTGCCTATGATAACAAAACAGCTTGCGAAAGGCGATGAAAAAAAAAAAACGAAAAAAAAACAACCCACGGAACTGAGAAAAAATGAAAAATAAAAGAGGAGCTTTTTTCTTTTTTTGCACAGCCCAGTTTGGTTACGGGTGTCGCGCGCCGCGCGCAAGGAGATAAGAAAGATAAGCCCCTCGCCTATGCAAACGAAACAGCTTGTGAAAGGCGGCAAAAAAAAAAACCTACGGAACTGAGAAAAAAGCAAAAGAAAAAGAGGAGCTTTTTTCTTTTTTTGCACAGCGCAGTTTGGTTACGGGTGTCGCGCGCAAGGAGATAAGAAAGATAAGCCCCTCGCCTATGCAAACAAAACAGCTTGCGAAAGGCGATGAAAAGAAACCCCCAAGGAACTAAAAGAAAAAGAAAACAAAGAGGAGTTTTCTTTTTTTGCACAGCTTAGGTTGCCGGGTAGGGCGCCTCAGTCAAAGAGATAAGAAGTTACTTCGATTTTTCAGGATAAAAGGTCCCTTCATTATGCCAGTAAATACGGACGCAAAACTTTTACTTCGCGTAATGTAATGAACGCACCCCCCAACTTTGCATCATTTTTTGGAAAGAAAAGTGTGTTCATTCTGCGAGTAAATACGGTAAATACGGTAGTTTCCTGAAACGAATAGGTCGTACGGCTGGTCAGATTTGTGGCACTGCTTGTGGACCACCCCGACCACACTGCCGACTGTAAAAGTTTGCTATGATGTAATGCCGAACAAGCGGGCTTACCTTCTGGCTGGGAAATCGCTCGTCTTCCAAAGCAGTTGGCAGCATTTGCTGCACAGAAGTTGGCAAAGGAGCCTCGGCGGTGTCACTTTAGAAGTGGCAACAATGAGGCCCTGGCATGAGTCCTTTGATTCTAAGTACCGTATTTTCCGGACTATAGTCTGCAGAAACAAATTTAGGGTAGAAAATAAAATATTTTCTTAGTAGATAATTTGCATGCCGTGCATAGTTTGCACCTGGTGCTTAGTCGACAAAAAAATCCTCGCACAGCACACCTTGACAGCCGAGCTCTGACGCGCCACGCATTTTTATTCTGTGTCGAGCGTTGGCCTTCTGTGATGACGGATTCTCATTCAGCACTATGGCTTTATTATCTAGAGGATGTTGCACAGCGCTCCCTTCTCTCTGGCTCCGCGCCAGCTATGCACGTGACTGACATAAACCATAGGGCTCGTTTCGACGGAAACCCGGCGGTGTCTTTCAGTTTGTCAGCTATAGAAAGGGAGAAGGAGCGAGAGAGGTTGACGCGTCCTGACGTCAGTGCTTCGGACAAATGGGAGCATCAAATGCGTCACCCTCTCCCTATCTTTCTTCCTCTCTCCGTGTAGCTGGCAAACGAAAGATACTGCCGGGTTTTCATCAAAACGAGCGTTCTAATGCTAACGCATTAAAACAAATCCTTGTATAGTTCGTGCTACTTTTAGATGGTTTGCACCTGGTAAAATTTAAGCTTTTAGACATGTCTTAGTTTACAAACTATAGTTCAGTAAACATGGTAAGTGGTGTATGGAAGCACATTTTTCCTTTGTTGAATACGGATGGAAGTTCCGAAAGGACGCCTACCTCGGGAGCTAAATGTTGGGTTGGAATGTTTTTGGACTGCGGCACCAAAAGGACTTCTAGAAATAAAATGAGAGCAAACTCTCGCGACATAAAAACCATTACTACAGATCAAAGACAGGGCTTGTGTCTCACAGCACTCTCCTTTAACTGACAGTATTATTGTGAGTGGTTTTATCAACCGATCCACAAAACAATTTTGTATACTTATGCGAACAGTCGTGATCCCTGGGGACTGTTGATGCTGCAACAGCTGCTTGTGTTGACAATGTACTGGGCCAGAGACCTTTTGTCGCCTCTCTCTGCTAGGCAGTGCTAGTTGCGCTTTGCCTCGTCTCAAGTAAAATTGCCCCACGTTTTGTTGAAATCGTTCCGTCGGACACTAGGTGATGGTGATGGTTTCCTCAGCTGTCGTCATACGGTCGGTGCCTTGCCGCGAAAACTTCAAAAGGTATTCAATGTCTTTGGCGTCGTTTGCCCACTGGTATTTCCAGTGTTTGATTTAGTCGTTCCTTATAAACACTTGCGGGACAAGGTCGTTGTGATGCACGTACCAAGGGTAATCCCCATTGCCTCGTGTGACTGTCAACATCTGTCCAGTGCAAAAATGAGGAATTCCGTTGACGCGTGCATGTTGTTTTGAGTGCGTTGTGCCAGTGTTACGAGGGGAAACATTCACGCACGCGCCCGGTGCAGGGTGTGCGCGTGGTGCTGGCGGAGAGCTACGAGCGCATCCACCGCAGCAACCTGGTGGGCATGGGCATCGTGCCCCTGCAGTACCTGCCCGGGCAGAGTGCCCACAGCCTGGGCCTGACAGGGCGGGAGACCTTCAGCGTGGCCGTGGGAGGACACCTAGAGCCCGGCCAGACGGTGCCCGTCCAGGTCGGTAGTCCCTGTATCTTTGTCATACTTACGGTGCCTGCAGCGCGTCTCCCGCCGGCGCGTTTCCTGCGTCCAAAATGGCGGCCAGACAACATCGTACTGTCGCCGGCTGCGGCAGCGGCGGCGGATACGGTGGACGCATGCTTTGCTGGCGGTGCCCCTCCAGCTTGACGATTTACAAAAACTTCGGCAGACGTCGCAACGGCGACAGCGCTTCCCTTCGCGTGTGCTTTTTTACAGACCTTGGGCACCCAACCACCAGGATTGTGACGTCCCGCAATGCAACACTCGGGCTTCTGTCACGTCATTAGCTGCCACTTTAGAACCACTTTGGATGCGTGGGCGGAGTAGAGCGCTAAACACACCAGTCGGAAATGCCTTCTAGGTGCCATAGTGTTAGCTATTAGCTAACAGCATGGCATTTGAGAGACACCTCGTGCCTTTTGCCCGTCAGTGACTCTCGCCTATAACATTCCACGAGTCATTTGTACTCGCTTCCTAAGTGACTCACTGCAGGGATCTGCACGTTGGGATTAAAGTGCACTTTCGGGACAAATATTGCAGGGCAATAGAGCAGAAGCATGGGCTCGCGTTTTTGCTTGACAAGATAAATGCGATAAAATTAGGAAAACTCTCGCAGGTAGACGTTTTATGAATGTGTATTTATTGAGAAAACTGGGGCTTTTCAGGTATTGGGATGGAAAACATGCTTCGTTAAAAAATTTGTGATAAGTCTTCTTTGCTCATTTTTCTTTCATACTTGTTCTTGAAGGGCCACGAAGAGTGGTCTTCACCAGCATTAGCTTTATTATGGTGCCTGGAACATGTCTGATTGGTGTCCTTAGCAGCAAAAATTTTTTTTCGAGGGAAGCTAAGGTGGTTGGGGTGTCCATGGCTCGGGGTGCAAGGGGAAGAAGGGGGGGGGAAGGGGAGGGAGGGAGGGGAAGGAGCTCAAAAGGCATGCGTTTACTATAGGGTAGACTGAATTTCGGAGGTGTAGTGAAGCCCCATAAGCCCTTCGCCTAGCTACGCTACTGGTCTTTAGTGTCCTTGGCTTCGAAAATGTCCTCAAGTTGGTAAGAAATTATATTGCAGAAGCCAGGTGGCACATTGAGTTGAGTTTCCCAATCCCGACGGTTGGTGCCGGTACCGCTGGCGGAGCGGGCGAGCAGATGCAAGGATCGCCATCGTCTTGGCGTCCCAGCCCGTGGCTTTTTTAGTTTCTGGCCGACTCCAGAGTGTGCTCATACAAGTTTCTGCTCAATCCTTCTTCGGTGCCGTACCACTGCCAGGATTGTGGCCACCAACTAAAGGGGCCAATGGTGACGTAACAAGGCGAAAATCGAGGGACCAACAACGAAGACGCGATAGACGTGTTGGTTGAAGACTCATTCCAGGCAGCGCGGCTTTACCAGAAGAATGGGTTGCTCGTGCTTAAGTGTGGTTGGCCCGGCCTTCCCTCTCTAGATTGAAGCCACCTACTCTGAGTGTTGCAAAGTAGTGAAAGCGCACAATAAAGACGTAGACGGAGAGGCAAACAGGACGAGCGCTGACTATCAACTGAATTTTTATTGAAAAATAAAAACTACAAAATAGTGTGATATTTTCTTGGACTAGTATGACCAAGTCATTCAAAATGCCTTGGAAGTTAAACCTGTGACCGAGTTGTTTAGGTATGTAGATGATTATTTAGTGATTTTGCAAAACTGAAAACCTTGCTGTATGTGAAGTTGTTGAAGATGTGATGATGATCTAGGGGCCTGAAGTTTACCCTTGAATGCCAAGATGGGCAGTTTCTACAGTTTCTGGATTTGCAAATGCAATTCGCAGGGGAACACGTGTGCTGGAGTTACAAACCGCGTACCCAGAAGGGAATCCTTGCCTATGATTGGGTGCATTCGAAGTTGGTAAACCGGAGCATTGCGTCGTCTTGTCTACAGACGGTGATCAAAAAGTTGTGTCACCATGCCATACACGACAGCTTCTATCGTCAGGTCAAGAGACTTGGAAGCTCAGGGTATCCAACTTCCCTTATGCTCTCAGTGGCTGAGAAACTTCTGAAGAAGTTCAAGGGCAAATGCCAAAAGGGCAAGCAAAAAAAGAGAGCTAGACCCCACGTGATGCCATACCTGCACAGGGTGTCACACAATTTAAAAAAAAGTGGTGGAAAGGTTCGAGGTACCTCTGGTCTTCTCAGCACCACGTAAACTGGCTCAACTATGTCCGAGGATAAAAGAGAAAGGCAAAGAGAAGCGGCAATGCTCAGTCAAGCATGTAAACAAATACGTGGAATTTGCGGTGGGCGTGATGTATAAAATTCCATTGGACTGCAGCAAGGTTTACATAGGCCAGACCGGAAGGTGTTTGAACGAACGGTTGCGTGAACATGATTTATCCCTGCGTTCAACAACGGGAGCACATTTACACATTCATTGCAGCGATTGCCGTTGCATTCCCAACTTTTCAAGGCACTACAGTTGATGGGAGTAGTAAAGAAAAGGTGGCGAGAGATGTACTGGAAGCTTGCATGATAAAGAAGGAATGTCCTGATAAGTGTATTAGTCAGCCCTCACTTTTCCTTCACAAAAAAGAAGTGGATTTTATTGACACATGTGGTGGCTGAGTCATTGCTGACTAGTCACATTTCTGCAATATTTGTGGCTTTTGCTGTTTTTATTTTCCAATAAAAATTCAGTTGATAGTCAGCGCTTGTGCTGTTTGCTTCTCAGTCTTCGTATTTGTCTTTATTGTGCGCTTTCACTACTTTTCAACATGCATAACCAACTCGCCTGCATCGCTACGTTAGTTCACTACTTTGAGTCTTCAGTCTACACAAACCAAACTCCTAATCATAATCTAAGAGATAGCGCTGGGTGTTCTGCCGATCGTGTGGATCCAAGCACTGACCCGAGAATCTGCCAACGTATCGGTCGTGCAGAAGTCCGTGCCGAGCAGTGCGGCGACGTTAGAATGGGTGCCCAGTTTGCAGAGTCGTGGCCCGACGGTGGTGCTGTTGTAGGTGTGCCTAGAGCCACCGAACGAGCTACGCTTCCGAGTAACGACACTTTGGCCATCTTGGTGCGATTGTTGCCAGTTATCGGGAGCTTTATCTGAAATCACGACAGTTTCTTGCCCTCCAGAAGTGTTTCAACCTGTGACAAAACAAAATGATATCGCTCAAGCTTTTAGACCCTGTAGCAAAAGCTAAGGAAGTTTCATTTGTGAATCAAAACAATCGCCAATTGCACCTGCACTGCACGAGCACCAAATTCGTGGTGCTATACACGCCAAGTTTGCAGAAAAGACTACCCCTCTGCTTAGAAATTCTCCCGTATAGTGTGGTTTTTGTAAAAAGAAATAGTGACTACAAATTTAGACTAAGACAAGTTTATTACATTTATATTGCACCACTCATGCTAGTGAGATACAGCTGGGCCTCGCTATCATTGCAGCCGTCTTTTGTAATGGCAAAAGCTCCTCGTTTAAGTGTGGGGAGGGGGAGGGGGGTTAATTTGCGTTTTTGGGAGAGTTTTCTGTCACTCGTACATCCCTAGAATCTGGTAAAAATTCGGGAGTCTCCCAGGTAATACGGGAGACTTGGCAGGTATTCGGTGCTCACGAGGAAATTGGAAAATTGAGTGGCAATACTCAAAGTATGGCCCAGTGCTGTGCTCACCACTCCCTTCTGCTCGCAGCTGGACGACGGCCGCAGCTTCCAAGCCCTACTTCGCTTCGACACCGCGGTCGAGTTGGCCTACTTCCGGCATGGAGGCATCCTGCCCTACGTGCTGCGCCAGATGCTCTGAGCACCGTGCCGACACAAATATACTTTTGCACACCTCGGTTCTCTCTCTGCGTTTTCCTCGGGGCACGGGGTGAATACTGGAAATGTTTCAAAAACAACCTGTTTCTACCTTACCGTAGTGGGACTCTTTTGGGCGTGCTGGCCAAAGGACGGGGCAAGACATTTGATGATTTTCAGGGGTTTTATGGCGCAACAGCTACAGAGGACGTCCTGTGGCGTATAGGCGTCAGCACCTCTCTGTCACCTATACGTCGTCGTCCTCCCCTTGTACATATCTCATAATCGTCATCGCTAGACGTGGCACCGCGGGCCTCTTTGGTACGGGCTATTGCCTTTCCGCGATGCCACGGCTCTCCCGAGCCAATAAAGAATGTGCTAGGAAAATATAGTTTGAAAAGATATGCAGGACTGGATCTGACAAATAAAACCAGTGCTAGTAATAAAAGATAAGACATGGTCGAATGAGATGAGGGGATATTCTCCCAGTAAAAGAGCGGGATAGAATGGGATTTGGAAGCGAAACAATTCAGGAAAATTAGTACCATATTAACTCGCATAATGAACAACCCCCAAAACAGCCATCAATATTTGGGCTTTTTTTGTTTCTCGCGTAATGAACATGCTTTTAATTTTCGACTACAGTCTTGAACTGTGTCCAACTTATCTAGCCAACTAGCCACCAACCCCGCAAATTTTCTTTTGCCGCCAAGCGGCCAGGCCAAGTCAAGCCAAGCCAAGCTACAGTAGGCTCGCGATAATTCAAACTCGGATATTTCGTACTTCCGGTTAATTCAAACAGATCTGAAAATTTTGGTTGTTTTTAATGTATTTATAAGCCGCTTAATTCGAACGGCGTTTTCGCTTAATTCATACTTTTTTGTTCTCACGGCCCCGTTGAGTGCGCTTCTTTCCGAGCACCGGTGCACCGCAGAGAAGCGATACCCGCGGAGCTTGTTTTTGCGAGTGTTGCTTATCCGCAGTGCACCGGTGCTCGGAAAGAAGCGCACTCAACGGGGCTCCAGCAGGCACACAGCGGAAAATGGCATTCACATTAGGAACAGCTCACTGGCATCATGCTTTCTGGCCTTGAAGCACATAACGTGAACGCCCAACTGGCGGAATATGCTAATCTTGACGACAATGTGTGTGTGAGTGAAGAAGTGAGAGTGAAGATGATGGAAGAAAGGGATGACCCACTACCAACTGTCACAGCCGCAGAGGCCTTTGAGTACATCGCTCAGCTCCGGAAGTTTCTGTCTGCAAAGGTAGAGTCCCGTAAAGAGCTACTTGCGTTGGCTGGTATTGAAATTTTTGTTTTGAGATCTCATGTACTGACTAAACAGTCCACAATCGACAACTTTTTGGCCGGATGAATAAACTTAACGTCACAGTTCTTTCACCAATGTGTTATGCCTGTACTTATAAATAGGCCTAGGTAGAGGAAACTGGCAAAAATCTGCTTTGTATGTGTAGCTATCCATGTAACAAACCATAATGCAGTCTAGTATCATATTTAGATGAATTTCTGATAATTCAAACTTCTGGTAATTCAAACTAAAATCTGTGACTTCCTGGAGCTTGAATTAATGAGAGCCTACTGTACTCTTGCAAGAGTTGCAATTTCGTGGTTCTGAAACCGAGCGACGCGCACGCCTAGCGAAGCTGGGGCCGAGGAATTGATCAGTCCCGGATGTGCTTCGCCCATTGGTTGCATAAATGGAAACAAACATGCCGCAGTCTGTGATTCGCTTTCGATCAGTGATATTGTGAAATTGGTTGGGCCTAAGAACGGTTGTGTCGCACTTTGTGCTGAGTAAGCTTCGTAGAGCGCTTTTTCTTCGGCAAAAGATACGCCCTGAAAAGGTTTGCAATTTATAGGGCAGGATTAATGTGGCATGCCCACGACCAGCCATGGGCGCGCCTCCGTTAGTGGAGACATGCCACAGTACCCTGCAATGTCTTATTGGCACTTAAAATTACATATGGGCAAAGTGTGTAAATGCAAATATTTTACCCCGCGTAATGAATCCCCTCCCAAATATAGGTCAATTTTTCGGAAAGAAAAGTGCAATCATTTTGCGATTAAATATGGTAGGACAATCATTCTCAAAAGCTGAACAGAGCCACAAAATATGTAGGTATTTGCACGAGGTTGGGGGGGGGGGGGGGGGGGGGGGGGGGGGTAAGAATGATCAATTCGAAGACGACGCAACTATACTTTGTGGAATCGGTTCCCGAGGGAAGAGCTCTCCCAGAGCTCAAGAGTCGACCTTGTAATATTAAGTTTATTGTTGCATACCATGTTCCACTCAAACTGCCATAAAGAAACGAGGGATGACTTTGTTAAAGGTTTGATATCTTACCGTAGAATACCGCGCATCCGCCAGTTCCACACTAAGCGCCCATTACCAAATTTGTGAGATCTGAGAAAATATGCACAGTACATTTATATGTAAAATTGATGACCGGGCAAGCGCCCATCCCCCATTTTTTTGCGATTATCTCCAAAGTTTGAGTGGGCGCTTGCCTGGTATTTGACGGTAGGTGTGGCAAACGGGCGTGAATTGGTGGAAGATTATCCGAAGACGTAGCGAATCTGCTCCCTCAATACGTTTTATTCCCATATTAAAGAGACCCCAACAAAATTTTATATTAAGGCCTCCCCGTATAGCTTCATTAAGTTTATTTTGCAGTTGCTGCACGAGCTTATTACTCGTAACTGAAAAAGCATATTGCAGTAACAGCGCTGCGAGAGCCTACAAATAAAACAGCCTACGGCCATAGACATTGCATAAATTTCAGCTGTGAAAATGCTGGAGGAAGTATTTGGACATTTCACTTTTATAAGATTATCCGAATACACTGCGCTGCCAACAAATGATGACGTCTTAGCGCCATCAGTGTAAAAGTGTGTAACCATACCTCCTTTCGAGCTCAGAAAATTTCTGCTAAATGATAAGAACAAACCCAAGCAGCACCGATTTGGCCAATCATTGGCCAATGACTGGCTTTTCTCTGGCCATTGGCCAATGACCACAGGTCATCAGCCATTGGCCAACTCTGGCCATTGCCGAGAAGACCCTCGCCAGCCATTGGCCAATGCTTTGCCAAAACCCGTGCTGCTTGGGAAGACACTATGTTTATGAAACCTTGTGAAAGCCCAGACACTAGCTGGCACTAGGTCGCAGGGGGCAACACGGTCTACATTCAGCGCAAGATTAACTCCGAGCAAAGATCAAGTTAGGAACAAAATTGCTCTACTCGAGGACTCGAGGGTCTTACAATGCTGGGCTCATTCTCAAAGAAATGACAAAATCTAGATTTTTGTAGAAAATGTCGGATGATTACGGCTAGCAAGTATCTTGTAGTAATATAGATACTGGCTTCTTTTCTCACATGACATCCCATTTAATTCAGCATATAGGCTGAGGATGGGACATCTGAAAGGCACCTGTTCCGAGAGTTGCAATCTAAGGTGACGGACTGGATCCAACATCCTGAGGGCAGACAGTTGTGCAGAACTGTAAACTGGAGCCCCATAGTCGAGACTGGATCAAATGAACGTTGTACGGAATTGTAGGCATTTACTGTCAGATCGCCATGTTTTATGGGCTACGACTTTTGGAATATTGGCAGTTTTGAGATTTTTAATGCAAAAGGATTAACTATCATGGAGCAAACTGACATCATCAGCTTTGAAACCACGCCAGACGTTGACCAAACGGCACCTAAAATCTCCTTTTCGAAGCCGATTTCTGATGAATGATGCTACCATTGGCTGGCGCGCGTCATCAAGAAATGAGGCTCCCATTGGCTTTCGTGTGGCATAGTTCCAAAAAAAAAAAGAGCCACCAAAGAAGCCTTCTCCATGGCGGCACAGCGCGTGTAGCGGCCCAACCGCCGGTAAGAGCGGTGCGGACCTGGTAGCAGGACCCGCTCGGGCAAAGTCCTGGTAAGGTGCACGGCCGAGCGCGGCGCGGCCACTTCACGAGAGCGTGCGCTCGGCCGTCGATCGGGGAAACGTGGCCGTTCACGCCGCAGACGAACTAAGAGAGTGGAAGAACGACATTCATGCTTTCGCATTCACAACTCGTTAGAAGTGCTTAGGTGTCCTCCGGCCGTTTTTTAGAGCGCAACTCTTAGGCGCCCGTTTCCTGGTTAAGCGGCGACGCCGGCAGTGTAATCGCGCGTTGCATTATGGAGTGTTTCCCATATTGACGTCACGAAAGTAAAATTTCCCGCTAAATTTGGCGGGAAATATTTTCGCTAATTCTAGCGGGACAATTTTTCCGGGTTGAGTGGCGTCATGTGAGTATACACGTTTGCAAGTCCGGTCTCAGGGCGCCGCCATCTTCCTCAGTGGGGTGCGCTCTCGGGAGCGGCCATAATCCGATTACGACGCCTTAGCAAGGCTTCGTAATCGGATTATGACTGGTCCAAGCGCACCCCAGACAGGCAAGATGGCAGCGCCCTGAAGCCGGACTTGCAAACGTGTATACAATTTTCCTGCTAAACTGGTCAGCAAATGTTTCCGCTAAATTTAGCGGAGAAATTTCTCCGCTAAATTAAGCAAGAAAGTTTTCCCGCCAAACTTAGCGGGAAAATTTTACCCTCGTTACGTCACACAGGACGCCACTCAACCCGGGAATATTTAGTGAAACAATTTCCCTCCAAATTTAGCGGGAAAATTTTACCCTTGTGGCGTCACGTGTGACGTCACTGAATGAATGTGACGTCACATGAAATTTAGAGGAAATTCCACTAAATGGGAGAGGAGGGTACAGAGGGGGAGGAGGGGCGTACCCTCCCTTCCTCCTCCCGAAGAACTGCCGTTTCAAACATCGCGTGCAACGCTGGGAAAGCTACTGAAGTAGTGCGCATGAAAAAACACACAAAATTGTGTTACTCCGCCAGATTTCGTGGACGAGCGGTACAAGGCGCTGCTCCGGCGATGCCGACATCTCGGTGGCGGTGGTTCGAATCCACTTAGGGCGCAAAGGTTTTTTTTTTTTTTTTTTTTTTTTTTCCTCGACCGATTTTTT